AAAAAAAAAAAAATAAATTCCACATCTCCCCATTTATTTTTATTCCCCAATTTATTTTTTTATTCTTTAAATTAAAAAATATCGAGCTCTCGTGGTGGTCGTGGTTCGAATTCTGGACAGAAACGTAGAAATATTAGCACCGGCACGTCTTCGTCAAGAACTCCATTGCCGGAATTTGCGAGTCCATCGATACATGTTAGTTCGGGTTGTTAATAATTTCAAGCAGCAATAGAGTTTCTTTTATTCCAATGAAGCCATCCTAACCTTGGCAATACAAACAATACTTGGGTCATCTTTATTTTTTCTGTCAACAAGGATTGACTGACTACTAAGACACATGACAAGAATGGTGCCATAAGGTACGAGTAAATCCCTCTCCGCTTCAATTTCGACCATGAACACAACGTATCCGGTCGTGTCTATTTTGGTCGTGTCTATTCCAGTCTTTTCTATATATTACACAAACCTGCAGTAAACATTTTATGATTTAAACAAGTTGCAGTAGAATGAATCAAGGAAGAGGAACAAGGAAAACATAATCGAGCCTGTTGTACTGAATTTAGGAAAATAAAGAGTCTGATAAACTAGTGCCTATAAGGGGCCCTTTCATGGCATAATTCACACAAAATCAGGCTTGTTTGATAGCATGTTTGATTATTGAATCTTGCTTGAAAATACCTAATTTTGATACACTGATCATTGAAAAGCTTGATATTTTTCGTTCCATTACGCATTTCTTAATTTTTTTTTCGTCGTTTCTGGAAGTTTTTTTTTTATCAAGATAATTAATTTTAGCCAGGGAAGATTTTTATTCTAGCTCCCCCCCTAAAACTAAGTAACTATGATGTTAATGCTAACTAGTGCATGGTAAAATCAAAATAACATCTAAAAATAATAGTCGGGGGTATCATTTTGCAACCTTAAAGTCCCTCCAGTAGGTGGACTTCTTGACAGCTGCAGACTCTCTCTTCAAATCCACGAACCGCATACTTGCTCTCCAGTTCATGTGCGTCGAGGGGCGAGGTCCCAGCAGGAGCTTTACCTCCTTCCTCGCGTCCCCCAAAGTTGTAATCAGCTCGTTTTCTCTTGTGTTCAAGCCATAGCTCTCCAACAAGGCAAGTCTACAACTATTTTGCAACCTTGTCGCAGCTATGATTGAGAGTTTCTTCCAATGAGTCAACAACATAGGTAGGTTGGAGATTGAGACGTGACTTCGTTCTTTTGTAGGTTCTAGAAAGTAGGAACAATGCGCTTCAACTTGATCGAACCGCGCGCTCTCACAAAAGAAAAGGATTAGCTGCAAGATTGCCCTAGCAATTATTTTCGGTTGGACGTGGTCTTTTTTCCCCAGTGTGTGGATGGCATTTTCGAGGCTCGATTTGTTGACAATTATGTCAGCTATGGTACCATACCCCGCCATCGATAACAGAGATTGGTAATTGCCGTAGAACTTGACATCATCCACGTCCTTCGCAATCTGTCATCGTGTCCCACACGGAGCCGATTCCACTTTGCTCCTTCCAGGAACTTAAATGCTACAAGGTAGAGATCCATAGCCTTTAACATCATGGAAAAATTTTGGACTTCCTTTGCCGGCATAAGAACAACTACTTCCCCTAAGGTGGAATCATTCGGTAAAAGACTTATCCCATTAATAGCAAATTCACTGGAGAGCTCCTCACGCCACTCCGCGTGGAAAGAGGTGAAAACTTCCCGCCTAAAAGTTTCGAACCTGAGTAATTTTTGGATTAAGCCCATAGTATCAAAATCTCTTAAGGGCCGGGGTGGGAGATCTGGAAGTCAGCAGTAAGGTGAGCGGGAAGATTTTGGCCACGTGGCGGTCTCCGGCCGCGGTACAGTTGTGGAGTTGGCGGACACCGTGAAGGCCGGAAGTCACACCTGCATAAGGAGCTCCTGGAGCTTGGGCGGATATGCGGCGCGAGGGGGAGAGATAGAAATATCAAAATCTTCAAGGAATGAAATTTCCCACAATATAATAATAAATATGGAAATAAATAAATATGCAAAGAAACCGATTGCCCACAATATGGTAATAAATATGGAAAGAAATAAATATGTAAAGAAACCGATTGCCCACAATATGGTAATATTGCATAAGAAGTAAAGAGATTTACTGGGGTTCTGCAGCTTGGGTGGAATGAAGGTTTGAAGGAATGAATATTTTCATGAAGGTTTGAAGGAATGAAAGTTTGCGCCGATTGCCCACTGGACAAACTAGGGTAAAGATATTAGCTGACACCTAAATCCTTAAAAGTTTATACTAAGGATGTTGGTTGGTGTGACAAATAGCTAACTTTATTTTTTTGTGTTTGGTTCAAACTAGACATGGTCGCGGGCCGAACCGGCCACATATGGGCCGGTCCGTTTGGCCGAACCGCAAGGGTCGTGGTTCGATCCAAGTTCATGTTTTTTTTTTTTGTCCCGGCGGTCCGATCCGGGACGGGTCGGGTCGCGGGCCGACCGCCGGCAATGATTTTCTTATTTTTTATTTTTTTTCAATATTAAATTCACCAGGTCGGGCCGGGTAGGACCGGACCGACCCGGCGTCAGAGAATCAGGCCTGCCCATACTGCAATATATCCGTTGGGCCCGGTTGGGCTACAGTTCGGGCCAGTCCACGGGCCCAACTGTCTAAATAAAAAAAAAAATCTGGCCGTTGGATCGGATATAACCGTTGGGATCCAACGGCCCATATCTACCGCCCGCCCGACCCGCCGCTACAGACCGCGACCCGGCGGGTCCACGAAATAAAAAACTCCCCATTTATTTTTATTCTCCAATTTATTTTTTTATTCTTTAAATTAAAAAATATCGAGCTCTCATGGTGGTCGTGGTTCGAATTTCGGACAGAAACGTTGAAATATTAGCACCGGCACGTCTTCGTCAAGACCTCCATTGTCGGAATTTGCGAGTCCATCGATACATGTGGATATTCCCGGTGTCGCCGATGACATTGATGAGGCGACGATCGAGCGCATGTTTGGCTCAATTCATCCTGAGCAACAAGAGCAGCAGCAGCCACATCACGACCATTTCGATGATATATTTGGAGAGTCCCCGCCGGAGGTTCTGCAACCGACGCAGCAGCAGCAGCCGAACCCGGACCCGGCCTCTGTCTTCGCCCGTGGCAGACCGGGATCTGCCATATTCAAACAACATTACACAAAGGTGGCCAATCCAAAAAGAGGTGAGAATCAGTTTTATGCTGTTTGCAACTACTGCCCAATCAACGAGAAGAAGATGTACCATTTCAAAAAAGGCGACGGGTACGGATCGTTGAAACGACACTGAGAGAGGAATCATCCGACAAAATTAGGAATTGACAGGGCACAGACGCAATTCCCGAGTAGTAGCGCTGCATCTGCCACGACTGGTACATGTACACCATCTTTATTTCAGTACTCACATGAAAATCATCGACGCCATTTAGCTGAATTTGTTTCTGCTTCGTCTCTTCCGTTTAGTTTTGGTGATAGTGATTTATATGAACATTTTGCTCAAATGGCTTTGAATCCGGCTGCCCACCGGATTCCACGTACTACTCTTACTCGCGATATTCGAAAAATAGTGGCCGAAAAAAAATTGATTTTGCAAGAAACTTTTAGATCTTTAAATCATAGAGTGTCCATTTGTGCTGATATCTGGTCTGATCATTGGCAAAATAACTTCTATTTGGGAATTACTTGTCATTGGATAGATGAAAATTGGAGTTTACAAAAACGTTTAATTGCTTATGTTGCATTTCATGAACGACACACTGCTTCTAATATTACTCGTTTAATTTCAAAAATTTTGGATAAATATCAAATAGGTAAAAAAGTGTTTTCCATTTCGTTTGATAATGCTACTGCAAATACTGCATCTATACGTGAACTTACTGATATTTGCACTCCAATTTGCGGCGGAAGATTTTTTCATATTCGTTGTATATGTCATGTCTTAAATCTATGTGTACAAGCTGGTTATCATGCTTTAAAGATTCGGTCACGCGAATTAGGGACGCTGTTAATTATTTACATAAACGTCCCCATGAAATGAAAGCATGGGGACGATTTTGTAAAGATCAAGGGGTGAAACCTAAAAAATTTCAACCCGACGTTCTTAACCGGTGGAACTCAACATTTAAAATGTTGAGTGAAACGGTTTCGTTTATGACACAATTGCAGAATTTTTTTAACCATGCATACCTTAAGGACTGTGATGTCCGAGTGTCAACAAGAGATTGGGAGAACTGTAATGCACTTATTCAATTTTTAGAAACATTTCAAAATGCTACTAACATGCTTTCAGGTGTTTATTATCCTACTGCTCAACTTGTGTTAAGTCAAGCTATAGCCATAATGTGGGCTTTCAAGGATCTTTACGGCTTGAGTTTTAATAAATATGGCTATTTAGTTGAAGAAATGTTAAAGAAATGGTTATAATATTATTATTTCATTCCTGATACACATTTAGTTACATGTTTGTTTGATCCTTCAATACGTGAAGCTCGCTTGTTAGAGCAGCTTAACATGTACTATATTTATATGTATGAACTCCCAATTCCGACTGATGTCCCGACATAGAGTCAAAAACCTAACGTACTGCTGCTCGTCGAGCAAGCAAAAAATTTGTTGTATGACATGTTTAGGGAAACAGCGATCGCACAACCTCCCAGCACATTTGTTCGTGGCGGCGGGGGCAGCGGCAGCGGGTCTTCTTCTTACGGCGGTAGTCAAGTAGGCGCTTCAAACTATAAGGAGTGGTGGGCATCATTAAATCCTTACAAGAATGCTGGCGTTGAAAGGGCAAAGGGAACTGGATACTATGAGCTTGATCACTACCTAACGTCGAATTTGATACTTACGATTGCTCGTGAACCAAGTCCGCCACTCAATTTCGATGTCTTGGACTGGTGGTCGAGAATGCAAGGCATATATCCTATTTTTTGCTTGATGGCCAAAGAGATTTTCATCGTCCCAACATCTACAGTTGCGGTCGAACAAGCCTTCAGCGATGGAGGTTATATGCTTGACGCACGACGATCGAGGCTGACGCCCGAAAATCTACAAGCACAAATGCTGCTGATGGATTGGAAGAAAACCGAACGAAGGATGCAAACGGCTATGTACGTAGATGAAGAAGCGGACGACGACGACGACGCATCCGATTTTACGAGTACGACGAGTGGTGGAACCGAAACAGCAGATGACGAGTACGACTATTAGAGACAACCACTCGTGTACAAATAAGTAAATCGAATGAACTACGTAGACTTTGATTCCTAATATAAGGGATACGTAGGCAACTGAATTGACATTTACAAGTTAAAATATCAATTTTTGGCCAAAACAAAAAATAAATTCAAGTTATATGATATTTTAACTTAATAAATGTCAATTAAGCTCAAGTCCATTTTTTTTATATCAACTTTAATATATCTTAACGTAACAAGAATTAAATTTGTTTTTGAAAACATTGTTCAGAAATTCAGGGAATCAATTACTCCAATTATTCCACGCCCACATTCTCCATTGTTGTATTTTATGCATATTAGAGAGTGCGACCCAGGTTCTACAAGGGAGATTGTGGGCGTGGCATTATTGGCGTAATTGATGTTATTGATTTGATCATTATTTGGTAAACTTTTGGAATTTCTTGAGCTGTAAGTAAATTAAAAAAGGTACATGAACTTTCATTCCCAATTTAACGGATACGTAGGCAGCTTAATCCTCATGTTAAAATGTCAATTAAAATAAGTTAAGTTACATCACTAGAAGGATGTTCTATAACGGAGACAATCGCAGTTAGCGTCGTTCACGGGGTTCTTAGATGTTCAACAATCTTCCAACATTGCAAGAAAGTGGCAGTCTTTTTCACACACCACTAAAAATATTGGATTATTGTATCAAATTATTGATACAATAATCCTATAGTTCTAGTGTGTGTGGAAAAGACTGTAGCTTTCTTGTAGTGTTGGATGATTGTTGAACATTTAAGAACCCCGTTACCGACGCTAACGACAATTATTTCCATTATAAAACATTCTTCACAAATTTAAACAATAACATCAATTACACCGATTATGCCACGTCCACATTCTCCCATTGTGGATCTTGCTTTTGACTCTCGTATACGTCTACAACATAGCAGTTAGAGTTCTATGACACAGGCCGACATACAAATTCTTCAATACTTGAAGTTTGTTGAAGCTTGTCTGTGTATACTATCTCTATATTGTTGTATTGTAGGCGTATGAGAGAGTCAGAAACAACATCCACAATGGGAGAATGTGTGTGTGGCATAATCGGTGTAATTGATGTTATTGCTTTCAACTGTAATTGGTAAACTTTTCGAATTTCTTAGAACGAAAATCCACAATGAATCACAACCTTAAAAAACGAATGCCTAATATTCAAACTTAAAAGAACTACGTGGACTTTGATTCCCAATATAAGGGGTACGTAGGCACCTTAATTAACATATGATATACTATACTTATTAAATGTCAATTAAGCTCAAGTCCATTTTTTTTTATCAACTTTAAAATATCTTAACGTAACAAGAATTAATTTTCCTTTACAAAACATTGTTCAGAAATTCAGGCAATAATATCAATTACTCCAATTATTCCACGCCCATAGTCTCCATTGCTGTATTGTAGCCGTATGAGAGAGTGCGACGCAGGTTCTACAAGGGAGATTATGTGCGTGGCATTATTGGCGTAATTGATGTTATTGCTTTGATCATTATTTGGTCAACTTTTGGAATTTCTTGAGCTGTAAGTAAATTAAAAAAAATTATTTGGACTTTCATGTCTAATTTAGCAGATACGTAGGCACCCTAAGTTAAAATATCAATTAAAATAAGTTAAATTACATCACCAGAAGGATGTTCTATAACGGAGACACTCGCAGTTGGTATCGTTTACGGGGTTCTTAGACGTTTAACAATCTTCCAACACTGCAAGGAAGCTGCAGTCTATTTCACACACCATTAAAATATTAGATTATTGTATCAAATTAAAGTGAAGTGTTGTTGACCGAATGTAAGCTTACCGGTATATTGTTCTGCATTCACATCACTTTAAATTGAGTTCATCGTCCCCGAGGATGACTAAGTCCGTGTCATATTACTCTACTTTATGCTATAGCAAGTTTATTATAGAGTTGAAAACATCATATATGTACAGACCGTGGGCGTGCCATCATTGGTGTCATTTGATGTTAGTTTGTTAATTTGGAGACCAACATGGTGCACCACACCGACACGATTCGGCTCTCGGCATCTTCGCCATTGATTTTCTGCTCCAACAGATTGTAGAATTTCAACATCAAATAAAAACAATAACATCAATGACACCAATGATGCCACGCCCACAGTCTTCATTATATATTATGTTTTCAACTTTCTAATACACCTGCTATAGCACAAATTAGATAAATTTGATACAAACCTGGCCATTGTCAAAATTCTTACTCAATTTTTAAATAAATGATTGCAAAACAATATACCGGTAAGCTCGCATTTGAGTCATCCACACTTCACGTTAGTTTGATAAAATAGTTCAATAGTTCTAGTGTGTGAAAAAGACTGTACTTTCTTGTAGTGTTGGATGATTGTTGAACATTTAAGAACCTCGTAACCTATGCTAACGGCAATTGTTTCCGTTATAAAACATCCTTCACAAATTTAAACAATAACATCAATTACACCGATTATGCCACGTCCACATTCTCCCATTGTGGATCCTGCTTCTGACTCTCGTATACGTCTACAATGTAGCAGTTAGAGTTCTATGACACAGTCCGACATACAAATTCTTCAATACTTGAAGTTTGTTGAAGTTTGTCTGTGTATACTATCTCTATATTCTTGTATTGTAGGCGTATGAGAGAGTCAGAAACGACATCCACACTGGGAGAATGTGTGTGTGGCATAATCGGTTTAATTGATGTTATTGCTTTCAAATGTAATTAAACTCAATATTCAAATTTAAGAACTACGTGGACTTTGATTCCCAATATAAGGGGTACGTAGGCACCTTAATTAACATATGACATACGAAAGGATACTTATTAAATGTCAATTAAGCTCAAGTCCATATTTGTTAACAAAGTTGTACTCCACATATGTTAATTCAACAGTATCTTGAGTTTGTTCAACGTCATCATACAATCCGACTTCAATACACAGTCTCGAGTAATATATCCTTTCTTTTTGTTAGTAGCCTCAAGCATGTTACTTAATAGATGTTGTCCAAGTTATCATCTTTGGTGTACAAGATGTTGATACTATTATCCCACAGTCCCATAAGGGTACATACCTTTTCACGCATCACTGGTACTGTTGGATAATGATATCAAACTAATGTCAAATGTTGATGACTCAACTGCAAGTTTACCATAACATTATTTTGCATCCCTTTTCTCGACATTGAGTAAGTATTCAAAAGATAACTAAGTCTGGATAAGCGTTCTATTGTTTGTGTTATTGCAGGCGTAATCTAGCATTGAAAGCATAATATGTAATGGAGAATATTGACCTGCTATCATTGTCCTAAATGAAGTTGATGTTTTGAGTTCATCTTCTAAAGTTCAAACATTAACTCAAAAACATTAACAACAAGAGGGAATTGTGATGTCACGTCAATATTCTTTATTATGTATTATGCTTTCAATTCTAAATTTCGCCTGCTATAGCACAAACAATAGAACATTTATACATACTTAGTTATCTTTTGAATTCTTACTTAACGTCGAGGAAATGAATGCAAAATAATGTAATGATAAAGTTGCAGTTGAGTCGTCAACATTTAACATTAGTTTGATAGCATTATCCAACAGTACCAGTGATGCTTGAAAAGGTATGTACCCTTATGGAATTGTGGGATACATGTATCAACATCTTGTACGCCAACGATGATAACTTGGACAGCTTCTGTTAAGTAACATGCTTGAGGCCACTAACAAAAAGAACGGATATATTACTCGAGATTGTGTATTGGAGTCGGATTGCATGATGACGTTGATGAAAATCAAGATATTGTTTAACTAACATAGTAAAATTAAATTTCGCAAGTCCTACGATGAGGAGGTGAATGGGGGGGGGGGGGGGGGGGGGGTCATCTTGGGACTCGACGATAATCCGATGATCGTCTGGTACTTGGTCCCAAGATGCTGCCCTCTCATTCACCTCCTCCTCGGTGACTTTCCGAAAACAAGGATTCTGGGACCTGGGTGAGTTTACGGGTTCTATCATGTTAGAGACATGTTTGTACAATTAATTGAACGCAATGACGGACCTACATTGGATCCAGGGGGGCCATGGACCCCCTCAATTTTTTTTTAAAAATCATTATATATATATAGTTATATACATAGTTATATAGAAATAAAAAATACTATAAACTATAAATAAAAATATAAAAAACATGTAGAATATATAAATAATTAAAATTTATTTTCAATGCTAAATTAAAATAATAATATTATTTATTTATTAAAAAGTATACTAACAATCTTTATAATTTACATTTCTAAATATATTTTTGAAAATGATATAATAATGTACTCTTTCGGCCTCTTAATTGTAAATCAATTTAGTAATTTATAAAAACCTAGAATTTAGTTGGACTGTTAGATTTTTGAATGTTGATCGATTGAATATTGAATGCTGATTTTTTACTTTTTTTATGTAATCACATATTTTCAATTTTATTTATTTTTTTATTAATAAAATGGTCATTTAATAAATTCTCATCAACAAAAAAATGTTATGCAATGTGTTGCAAAAGTTCAATGTAAATCAATTTTTGAACAAAAAAACTTATTTTTTTCCCATAAATTATAGATCTTAAACTTAAATTATAAATACACGAACTCTTTTTTTCTTTTTGCCTTAAAAAAAAGTTTGAGGGTAATACGGATTCTAAGTTTTTAAAAATTTGATGGTACACTATATTTATAAGTAAACACAACTTTATATGAAATGCTCGGTTTTACTTAAACTATAAATTCGTTATTTAACATTTAAAATTGGACCCCCCTGAGTGAAAATCCTGGCTCCGTCACTGGTGCACATAATCAAATATTAGCTTTAAAATATATTATTTAATTTGTAACAGTTTATATAATATCTCTATCGTTTTGGCAAAAANTTAATTTTTTTTTTAGGGCTATATTGGTGAAGTTGACTACATTAATATGTTATAAATAAAAAATAAACACGAGAAATGTCCGAAATGAAATCACCAAGTGTTATAGATAAATATCATATTTTAACGTCACATAACGATTAACGACCATCGCCAAAAAGTCGGAACAATTCATTTGATCACCTCAAGCAAAAACAACACTACAAGATTCAATACATACTTGACGAACTTTCTTAGCTGCCTTTATTATTTGCGAATTGATTTAACCAACTAATTAATGTCACTAGTCACAAAACAAAACAACATATAATTATTAGTTGCACCCAATTCAAACGCTTACATGCATCCATATATTATACTACCGTCCGTATTGGTATTGTGTTAAATCAACCTAATGAGTTTGAAAATATGCATATTATTATATGAAAATATGATACTTTGGAAAACAACATAAACATAAGTATGATAAACATAAGTATGATATTTGATTGTATAAATATATACTCTTTGTTCAAATAGTACAATCGGTCGATTAATCTAACTTTTAGATTGTCTCACATAAAAATTTATAATCATATTATTGTATAAATATCATAAAGAGAAGATCCATATATGTATTCGAATAACTTACTCAAAATTTGTGATTATGTTACTTATTTGTTTATAAGCGGATCGATATTAGACTATGGATTAAGTACTATTTAAATGTTTGACCAATTGAATTCACTAATTTAACTTGTTTGGTAATGATCTTAGTTTATTAGTTTCTTTTTTTTTTTCACACGCTAATTATGAAAAGGTTCGAAAGAACAACGATTTACTTATAAACTCCCCTTTATAACAAGAGAAATGCTACAAGTACATAACAAAATGTACATAAATATGTACATAACACTCACATAGAGTAGGGTCCACTTGATTTTTTATTTTTTGTAGGACTCACTCTCCATGTGAGTGTTATGTACACCTCTTATGTACTTGTAGCATTTTTCTTATAACAATTGGTTACCGGTTTGTTCCTTTCTACCTATTGACAGCTTTGTAACTATTGATCATCTATTGTATTTATTTTGAGTTTAATTTATTAGAACTTGTTAGTGAGAGAAAAAGAAAAGAACACCCAAGTAACAGTATAATAATATTCACAAAAGTAAAGGTGCAAACCATAAAATCAAGCATTAATATTTCAGTATTTGACATTACTATATATATTAATTTTTACGGAAAAAAAAAATAGCAAGTAGATCAAAAATCAAATCCTCCACAGTCAAAATCAGAGGCATCGGAAATCATATCTCCGACCAACAAACCTCCCAGCAGCCCCGCTCCCAACCCCAGCCCAAAGTTATTCTTCTTCTTCCTCGCCGGCTGCTGCACAGGCGGCGGCGGCGGTTGATATCCATACCCCGGCGGCGGTGGTGGGGGCGGGTAGCCGTATCCTGACGGCGGCGGTGGGGGCGGATAACCATATCCAACCGGAGGCGGCGGGTATTGTTCCTTCCCCTCAACCGCAGGGTAGGGAGGGTAGACGGAGCTAGATCCAGCCGGATACGCCATGACCGGCTCCGAGTCAACCTTCCCCGGGTACGCCGATCCATACGGCGGCGGGCCCGCGGTTTTCCCGCCGAATTGGTAGGAAAAGGTGAGCTGTCCCTTGGGCCTCCCGCTGGGTTTCCTGACCTGATAGCTGACGAATTGCTTGCCGTCAGCCCTCGCCGGCGAATCGAGAAGCTCCTTGATTGGCACGTGGACCTCGCCGACGTCCTTGTCCCCGAGGGCACGTTCGCAGACGAGCTTGAAATCGAGGGAGAGGCGGTTGGCCTGCAGCGCCGCCTCGTCGAGGGCGAACTTCATCGGGAAATTCCAGGTGGGGTTGGATCCGCCGCGGCGGTCCGGCGGCGACTTGGTCTGCTGCTTGGCGGATTTGTCCCCGCCTGAGATGGAAACGACGGCGTAGACTTCCATCTTGGAGATGAGGTTGACGTTGCTCAGATCCCTGGCGTACTGAAGGGTGACGTCCAGATTTCGATTCTCCATCGCTCCTGTTTTACTTTCTTTTGCTTGAAAATTAGGTATTGGTAGAAAGGGAGAAAAATTGGGGAAAACAGATTACAATTGAAAAAGTGTTTGTTTGAGAAGGGAGTTTGTGGGGGACCGGCGCACATATATATTTGAACTTTTCCAATAACGTGTTAACAAAATCCGGAGTCAATGTTGACACGTTGAAGGAAGTTGCTTGGCGGCTTTCTCCAAGGGTAGTTTATTATATTATCTATTACTATATAATACGGAGAAGAAAAAATGTTTGAATAAATATTTCATTTCATGCTTAAACATCATTTTTTCCCTTTCAAATTTTTTAAAAATTACCTGTCTTGGAAACTCTTTTTGAATTTTTTCATTTATCCCGCCTAACTTAATTTGATTTTGGATGTGATTTATGGAAATCGGATTGTTTTATTTTAGGATAAGATTTGGTTGTTTTTTTGTTAAATTTGTTATAATTCCTTTTCTTTAGGATGAGATGAGATTTGTTACCATTTTTTTAAAATCCGATTTGGTACATTTTTAATTCACTCGCTTTTCCTTTTTTTTCACGTTTTATTTCACTCGATTTTCCTTTTTTTTTTGATGGGTTGAGATTTGGTAAATTTTGTATTTTTAATTTTTTTTAATTTTAATTCACGTTTTTAATTTTAATTTCACGTTTTGAATTTTTTCCTTTTAATTTTTTTTAATCCGATTTTTTTTTCAAACATTCGGTAAAGTTTTTTTTATTTTTTTTTTCATAATCCCGCCTACATTTCAATTGTAATTTATTTGGACGTATATCATAATCCTTCTTTTTTTGAATCGATTTGGTAGGAATCGGATATTTCCTTTTTTTTTGGAAGGGAGTTGATATAAATCGAATAACATCAATTTAAGTTAATTAATTATGAAATTTCATTTCCTTTTTTTTTTCAAATCTGATTTATATTATATAGATAGATTTCACTTCCTTTTTTTGTAAGCGATTACCTTTTTTTTTGGTAAGCGATTGTTTCAATGAAACGTGCACTAAGATCGGGTTGACCGAATTAAACAATTTTGAATAATATTAAATTAATCGATTACTATTAAATTAATTTTATTTGATTTTCACGTCTAAAATTTTCCAAAATACTATTTTTATTCTTGTGGAAAATGGCGGTTGGATGAAAAAGTCAAATTCAAATTAAAAAAAATTGTTATTTTGAAAAAGATATTTTGTAAACCCTAATTCATAAAAATATGGTCAATGATAACTTTAAATACAACGGGTAAATATGGTCAATGATATCATAAATTATATTTTATATTCGATAAGTTCAACTTAATTGATGATTTTGTTTGTTAATATTTGCTTAACTACAAAATATTTTAAAGTTTATAAAGAATCTCATTTTATGTAGGTTCTTGGTACTTTTTTATTTGTACATATTCATTTTTCATCCCATATCCAAATACAAATTTAAATGCGGATCTTACATGTTTATTAGAAATATATGTATATTTTTTCAAAAAGTATGACGATCATATAATTAATTTTATCATATATCATATGTTGGATGTTATTAGTTTGGTTGGGACACTCATTATATTCAAATAAATAATATATAATTTTTCATATTTAGTATTTCTTTTTTTATAATAATAAGATGTTAAACATAAATAACTATGTATAATATAAAGTCTTAGAAAAGGTTTTAAGTAAAAACCCTTCCGTGCAGCGCACGGGATACACACTAGTATTATTAATATATTCAGTGGTTAAGGGCTCTATCTTTTAGAAAATTGCAAGTTTACCCCTTTCATTTGCACTTACTTTAAATTATGTCCCGGGCTCCAGGCCCCAACGGCCCAACCCACTAGATAAGTTGACTACTCTAGAAAATATGCATAATTTGACCATTTCTTCCTCACAAGTCACATCCCCGTCACCCTTTCGTCGTCCTCATTTTTTATTTAATTTAAATTCCTTAAATATGTCCATGACCCATCATCTTTTTCTATGTACACTACATTGTAGATAATGAAGAGTTATCAAACTATTTTAAACACTAAACAGTGGATCAAATCTATATATATATAATTGCTAGCTAATCTCATTTAATAAAACATTTAATAAAAATATTTTCATTTTCCTTCCAAAAGAAGTTACATTTTTTAATTAATTACTCATTAATCTCACATTTAAGAAGGTTTCTTTTAGTTAAACTTAATTAGTTAATGACTAAATTAAAAAGTTTCTTTTAGTTATTCCCACATTTATGTTTTTTATTCTCATTTATATATATAAACGTGACGGTCATTATTGTTGTGCAGAAACTATATATTATTATTTTCTATTTCATTATGAATTGAATAAGCAATTAAAGTTATAAAAAATATTAATAAATGTATTAATTACAAACATTATAATACATATCATGTTACATTACAATATAAAAAATGAAATTATTTTTTTGGTAATTTAATTTCCAGCCATACTCAATCAAATTTATAACTACAAAATGATAAGAAAGATTAGTTTCATAATTAAAATTAAAAATTTAGCTCCCCAAATAGTAAAACCTTATAAATTAGTAGTAGAGATACATTTAAATGACATATAATTTATAAACTTAGACTATACGCATAATAAGATGAATTATGAATTAAATAAATAAATTATTATTATAACACAGTATATATAATTATTATAGCAAAGTCTATATTGTCAATATTATCATTTAAAAATTTCATTGAAAAAACATATGTATAAAAAAAATTCCATATGATCATAATTAATAGTGCAAAATTGACATTCTTTGACTTTCTATTTAGTAGTAATAATAAAATATTTTATATTACTACTATTCAATAAAATGCATGATTTCTGCATATTTGATTATCGCAATCAACATTCTTTTTTTATAAATTAAAAAGTGTCTTGAATCAATTGTCTCATATTTTTCATTAAAACAAAATAACTGTTGGCCGTGAAAAAAAATATTATTTCACAATTATAAATATAAAAATGATTAATTTTCATTAAAAAATTCATGAAAACATATCTAAAACATCAATATTTTAATGCATTAAAAACATACTTTCAGCAACAGAAAAGTCATATTAAACGAAAATTGGCAAAGTCAAAGAATGAGAATTGACAAGGCATTGTATGTAATGGCAGATTGTTGCATAATATAGAAATATCAACCATAATTAATAATCAACAAAAAAAAGTCAAATCTATATGAAAAAATCAAAATTAAAAACACAGCAAATTATGTGGAACATTATTGAACACTATACAATATAGAAAGAAAAATAATTTGATTTCTCTATCATTATCAACATATTCAACTTTTACCAAGACATCTGCCTTTATATTAAAATCGATTTTTTTGCGTAAAAGTTTTAAAAATAAAAATTCCTACAGATTCTTTTAAACATTAAACAAGAAATTCCTAATATGCGATAAATATATCTAAACAGATTTATTATAAACTTACCTAGTATTTCCAAATTTTGAACAAAATACTAAAAAATTTGAAAAATTTCGGCAAAAGACTTTGAATAACTTCGAAAAGCGATTTTGAACAAGTGTTACCAAAGCTTCACTTACTGATATGATGAGAAAGACGACAAAGAATTGAACTATTTAGTTTTCAAAATCTGAACAAAATACATAAAAGTTACATATGTATGTTATAAAAAGATATGAACAGATATGTTATAAACTTACATATATATTTGTTAGTAGAGTTGAACATATCTGTTAGAAACTTACATATTTTTTCAAACCCTGAACAAAAAACATAAAAGTTTGAAAAAGTTCGACCAATGTCATGTTCTCTTCGAAAAACGATTTTGAAAAACATCTAAATAATTTCGAATTATGTATAAAATATAATATATCTTGAAGCTTATTCACAAAGAATTTCGGAAAACGACACAGATCATTGAAAATAATAAAAAATAAAAACTACGTTTAACAAAAAATATTTCAGCTCATCATAGATTTGTAATATTATCGCCCGATTTTGACCGACCTGTTAAGATTTAGCAACACAGATTAATAAATCGGGACAAATATTTTATTTTTCGATCATTACTGTTGGTCACAAAAACAACATTTCTCGGATGTCTCTTTTTTGATGACTTTTTTTTTTTAATTTTTTAAGCCTTTACCGGGAGAAAATCTCCAGTAAAACAGTTGTTTTGTATTGAATCTCGCCGAGTTTGTCGTAATATCGGGTTAAGGATTAGGGTTTCAGACAGAGTGAATAACGAGAGAAGCGCCGACATCAAACAAAAAAAAAGGGCTTACATCACTCTCAAGGAGTTTATCTCTATTTATAGTCATGTTATCACTGACCTGTTTTATATTTGATTTTGGCTACCCTAAAAAATTAAATGGACTTCTAATTTGGGCTTTTGTTATCATTCAATCAATATATTTCTTTATGGCCCAAAAATTGTCATTTTGTTCAAATGTCTTAAATATTTGGCACATATCATTATTTATCAACCAAATACAATTATTTATTTTGTAATATTTTGCTGGTTTTTTTTTAGTATTTTTTTTTAATTTCCTATATGATCTATAGTACAAAATACAATAATTATTTAAACAATTAAAACCATTATATGTCTTAATTTGAAGATATGATTTGTAGTGATGAAAATTCTGTTGATAGAAAAACCACAAGCGTTGTATATAAAAAATTGTTTAACAATATTTAGTTATTATTTCTTAGAACATTTTTCCAATGATTATATTATGATTTTTATTATTGTTTATATATTTTTATTATTTTTTGTTCTATTATATTGTTTTCCGTGCAAATGCACGGGTTAAAAACTAGTATAATAAATAAGAGATCGTCGATGACATTGAAAGCGCCAATGAGGTATTTATTGTTCTTTTTCCGTATGTTAGTTTGTATGTAATAAATTATGTGTCCCAAGAGTGTGTACTGTAGGGTGTGCATACTCAATCTCACATCGAAAAATTAAAGGTTTCAAAT